TAGTAGATATANAGANANANATATATATATATATATATATATATATATATATATATATATATATACACACACACACATACATACAGGCATACAAACATACACATACATACACGCAAGCATACATGCATATATATACTCCCTAAAAACTTTATAAAAAGAAAAAGGTTTTATAAGTTTTTTGAATGAATTTGTTGCCAAATTTCTTATATATATGTATATATGCTTCACTTCTATTCTTTACATTAAATTTCATTCAAATGTAAAGCAATGAAACAATCAGTGCTTTTCTTTTTTTTTCCTTATTTTTTAACATTTTAACTTTTCTTTTTTGGTTTTCTTGTTTTTTTTTTNTTTTTTTTTTTTTTTGCTTTAAACTTTAACGAATATATTCTTGGCTTATTTGAAAATGTCAAAATGTCTGTGTTATTAGATTTTCAACGTTTGTTATGCCTACATCCCGATACAGTATCCTTGATTTGATGGTTAGAAAATTTTCGTACAAAACAAAAAAAAAAAGGAAAAAAATGGAATAGAGAAAGAGACGAATAAATTATTGTTCCGTCTTTTTTTTTCTTTTTTTTTTTTGATTCGAAATATCTAACTAATGTTTTTCATCGTAATATCAGTGTCATTGTTTTTTTTTTTTGTCTTTTTTTTGAAATAAATAAAAACACAAGTTCTTTGGGTAAAAGTTTTTCGGGATATTTCGGACATGTGAAATGGTAAATTTCATTGGTAGTTTCGAGAAATGAACTTTCCATTCCCAAATATACTACAGTCTTTTTTTATTTCGTACATTTGTAATGCATCATTGTTATTTTGTCAGAATTGATTAATAATTATTTAACATAATAGAATTTGTTGAAAGATAATTTAACTTTCAGTCAGGTAAAAAATTAAAAAAAAAAAAGAAAAAGGAAAACTTTTACACCATTTTAGATCAAGTGATAGATACTGTTAATCGCAGGAATAATATGAACATTAATTATCATGATTTAGGTGACATACTTATAAGTACAAATGACAGTTTTCGTTTGCAAAGTGTAATTATCTTATTACAAAATATTATTGAATTTAGGAAGGATTCAAATATTTCATGATATGGTACCAATATTACATTTGATATGAAGTACTTTTATTTGTTGGGAATACTATTGCAAATAAAGTAATAATCAATTTTTATTACTCGTAATGTCGAAGTAATAATGAACGGTACCATTTCAATGATACCTAATACAGGCAGATATATGTTTAGTTCATTAAACCATTCATTTTATTTTATGAAATTCATCTCTATGATATAATCTCTTTTATATTTGTTGGTTTTAAATTGGCAAATAAAGAGAAAATCACCTGTAATTTCATGTAATGAGTTTTTTTTCGGGATTTTGCCACCTGAGAACCGGTTTTAAGGTGCTAAATGAGTGCTGATGTTTGAAATCATATAAATAATAGAACAAAAAAGAAAAAATGAAAAGAAAGACAAATCATTACTATTCACATTGCAGTTTTAATCAGTCCCTTTCTGTTTACAATTCTCAACGGTAAAATTCCTTGAGAAGTTTGACAAACCTTATAGGAAGTCCGTCTCAACCCCTTTAATTATATACGATCGAAGAGACACTATATATCATCTGTCAAAACCAATTTAAATAAGGTTGTGTGATCATTTTTATTTTTTCCTTTTTTTTTTCATATCGGTAAAATAATTTATTTTAATGCAATCAAGTCAATTTCAAATTTGATATCAAAAAGATATCACTGGAATGACCATTTTATTTGGATGGAAAATAATAATACTCGATTCTTTTTTTTTATTTCTCATAAAATGGTTAAATGGATAGCATTTAAAAAAAAAAATTTGCAATAGAAAATTATTTAAAATTATCTTTCGGTTTTTTTTTTTTCATATAAATAAGCAAATATGAAAATGTTTTGAGAATTGAAAATTGAACATAATGTTTAGATTGAAAAAATGACAATTTTTTCTTTTTTTTTTTTTGTTGAAAATTTAGCAAAATGACTATGGTGAATTTTTGAACTATAATGATTTTCTTTTTTTTTTTAAACTGTGGTGAATTTTCGAAAATACAAAGGGAAGAAAAAAACTTTTAACAAACAATCTGTCTATTTTAGAATTTTAAACAGTAATGGGATCAAAACATGAAGGCGGTTTACTTGAACATCGAACACGTTATATTATTCTTTTGCTTGGATGGATTTGCTTAACTTCAATCTTTTCTAATACAATTGCGCTTAATTTTACATTTATATGTATGACAAAGCCTGTTTCAAAAAATCAAACACAAAACGATATTGTCGTATGCTTTTACATATTTCTGTATTCTTCTACCTTTTTTTTTTTTAGTTTGTCACATCATTCAAAGTTAATTATAACAAACATAATTAATTTTAAGGAAATCATCCTTAAAAGAAATTTAACGAATTGAATAAACTATGGTAAATTTTCGAAAACACAGACAAAAAAGAAATAAAAAACTTTTAACAAACAAAAGAAAATCATTTATTCGTATTTGATGAAGTAGCATTTATCCATCAGAAATTTAAAATCAAATTATATAAAATTATATTTAATTAGATTATGATATGTACTTTATGATTTGTAATATTTACATCCATAGCTATAAATTGGTCGGTATTTATTGAGGTAGACAATAAATAAAAATAAAATCCTTAGAGGTCAAAGGAAAAAAAAAAACGAAAAAGGATTCAAGACAGCGACAATATCAGAAATTTTTCTACTGTCGAAAAAATTTTTTTGACCTAAATAAAAATTTAATAAAAAAAGAAATGTTTTTCATATTTGTATCGTTTTAAATCATAAAAATTATTTCAAACAACAATTTTTTTTGGTATGATCATATTGACATATAAATAAAACTTAAAAGTCTTCTTTTTTTTGGAAAAAACTTGGTTCGGTATATGGTATTAGGTTGAAATGATAATTTAGAGAATGTAGTTGTGAAGGATGTCTGTAAAGAATCGATGATGCAAAATATTCATTCATTAGGAAAGGATGCAAAAATATCCTGTAATATTTTACAATTAATAACTATAAAAAGATTCAATTATTAATTGCTAATTGATCTAATCTTTAAAATTAATAATAATTAATGAGATTATACATGCAGGATTTTGGTCATTTCACAAAAGAGCTCCATTATGGACAAAACGAAAAATCAGCATTACTTTGGGCACTCGGTTTTGGTACTTTTATCGGTGTTTGGCCTTTTAATTTTTTATATCTTCAATATGGTGCACGATATGTTTTTTTTGCTGCTGGTTTCCTATCTGCTTTTTCTACGCTTGTCATACCTCTTACAGCCTATATGGGCCTTATATGGTTTATTGCTGCTAGAATCCTTCAGGTTTATCAATTTTATCTCATTATCATCATCAAATTGCTTAATTATTCACTTACATGCATCACATTATTATCATCGCAATGATTACACAATGAATGTATTTATCAATTTTATCTCAAATATCATATCATTGTCATCATTAAATTGCTTAATCATTCACTTACATGCATCCTACTATCACTGCAATGATTACACAATGAATGCACGTTTGTTATACAAAAAAAAAATTTAAAATTCAACTTTTTTCATCTT